AAGAGCGGTCAGGCACAGCATTTAGGACGGGTCAGTCTGCAGATTCAGCGAAGCTAGTAGCTCAGAGCCCTCCCTGGGGATGGGTGCACCTACGTTGAGATGAGATGCATCTACCTAATGCACGAACATATTGGGAAGGGGCTCTGCTGGGGGAAAGGAGGGGTCCACCACCTTCCTCTGTCCTGGTACCTCCCTGGCAAGGCTGTACAGACAGAAATAAGTCGGACAGAGCTGACCAGACAACGTTGGATCTTCTCAAAGGGCCCCTCTGACTTGGCTTGGTGGAAGCTCATGTGCTCCATCTAGTGTCTAAGAAAGCTGAGCATTTGGGTACCAAGCTGAGGTCCCCAGAGAGGACGATCCCTGCCGTACACTGACCGCGACAGGGCCCGGATCGACGGGCAGCACTGCGCTACGTGGCCTTTGGGCAGCAGAAACATCCCGCTTTTAGCTTTTCCTGACCAGGGCAGAGGTTTGACCTGCTGCTCTGGGGACAGAAATAGCTGTCGCTTGCCTTCCCTGACCCCTCCTTAAATCATTTACTGTATGTGAACATATAGTAATAGAGTAAAGTTGCTTAAAAATGAAGCTTTCATTCAAAATGCACAGGCTCTGCATGCCAAGAGTGCAACCTGGGCTCTTGAAGGTTAACTGTTGCTCAGGGAAAAGCCCAGCAGGGACGTGGGATCGTTGTACCCCAAGTGACGTGTTGAGGCAGATGCTCTGCCTATCACTGGAGCGGGTTTCACTGGAAGAGCCCCCGGGGTCTCTGAATGCTCCAGGAAGGGCTTGAATCCTGCTGACGGTGAGCTCTTTTTGCCCAGCAGGTCCTCAGAGGTGTTGGGTGCTGCTGAAGCCATGTGGATTATTCCGGTGCTTGCTTTCTGCGGCCTCGCTGCAGCCGTGCCCTCGGAGGACAGGAAGCTGAGCGACAAGGCAACGACGCTGGCTGACCGCAGCACGACGCTGGCCTTCAACCTCTACCACGCCATGGCGAAAGACAAGAACATGGAGAACATCCTGCTGTCCCCCGTGGTCGTGGCCTCTTCCCTCGGCCTCGTGTCCCTCGGGGGCAAGGCCACAACCGCCTCCCAAGCCAAGGCAGTGCTCAGCGCAGACAAACTGAACGATGACTATGTGCACAGCGGGTTGTCCGAGCTCCTGAACGAGGTCAGCAACAGCACAGCCCGCAACGTCACCTGGAAGATTGGCAACCGTTTGTACGGCCCTGCCTCCATCAACTTCGCCGATGACTTTGTGAAGAACAGCAAGAAACACTACAACTACGAGCACTCCAAGATCAACTTCCGAGACAAGAGGAGCGCCCTGAAATCCATTAACGAGTGGGCAGCCCAGACCACGGATGGGAAACTCCCAGAGGTCACGAAAGACGTTGAGAAAACTGATGGGGCCCTCATTGTCAACGCCATGTTCTTCAAGCGTAAGTTCTACCTTCAGTTCTTGATACGAGTGACCCAAAACCTAGCCTGAGCCAATACACAGCAGCCCAAACGGGAAGGTGAACAAATCCTAGGTCCGTGGGAGGCATGCTCTCTTTCAGAGCGAGTAGTTAGGAACCGTGCATGAAATTACCACCCATCCCCTTTTCTTACCAGCTCAATTTCTCTCTCCTGTAGCTCACTGGGATGAGAAGTTCCATCATAAGATGGTGGACAACCGTGGCTTCATGGTGACCCGTTCCTACACTGTGGGAGTTCCCATGATGCATCGCACAGGTACGTTGCAAACCTCCTGCCCCACGTCAAGACCAACTGGAGTTACACTCACCGTTGTTCTGTTACCCACTTTTCCACCAACTGCTTCCAAGATTGTTTTCCCTCATGGTCAATGAGTGAGAGAGAACAAAGCAGAGCATGCTTGGTCCGATTCAATCTCTCAGTGAGCAGAGAGAATCCACGTTTACTCTTGGGTGGCTTGGCTGTTAGGAATAAATCCCAGCTCATCACGCAAATGAGAGCCGCAGTTTTGAGTTGTTGCCAACTCCAATAACACTGGGCCAGTTCCCAAAAGAGCGTTCAGACTGGCTTCCCTTGCTGGTCAGGGGAAGCGCAGGGTGAATTCGCAAGGCTGTGGGTAGCTTTGCCTCTGCTCCACATCTCACTGTTTCCTGCTTCTGGTTTCAAGGTCTCTACAATTACTATGATGATGAGACAGAGAAGCTCCAGGTGGTAGAGATGCCACTTGCTCACAAGCTCTCCAGCATGATCTTTATCATGCCAAACCACGTGGAGCCTCTGGAGAGGGTTGAGAAACTGCTGAACAGGGAGCAGCTAAAGACCTGGGCTGGCAAGATGAAGAAGAGATCAGTGGCCATCTCGCTGCCTAAAGTTGTCCTGGAAGTCAGCCATGACCTTCAGGTAAAGTTGGTCCTTAAAGAAAACAGTTGGGCCTTACAGTTCTTTGGGGTGGGAGAGAAGACAGTGGGATGATGGGTTATCGGTGCCTGTCGTCCTTTTTCCAGCAGCTAGTCTAACCTGGCCGGAAAGGATTGCACTGTGTCATCTCCGGGAGGGCTGCTGACCTCTTTTCTCCTCCTAGAAACACTTGGCTGATCTGGGCCTGACAGAAGCCATTGACAAAACCAAGGCTGACTTGTCAAAGATCTCCGGCAAGAAAGACCTTTACCTGTCCAATGTCTTCCACGCCGCTGCTCTTGAATGGGACACCGACGGGAACCCCTACGATGCCGACATCTATGGCCGAGAGGAGATGAGGAACCCCAAGCTCTTCTATGCCGACCACCCCTTCATCTTCATGATCAAGGACAGTAAAACCAACTCCATTCTCTTCATCGGCAGGCTCGTAAGGCCCAAAGGGGACAAGATGCGTGATGAGTTGTAGTTAGGTTGGGGTTTTTTTTTCCCAGAGCTTTGGTTTGTGTGTTTTTTAGTGGGGGATTTCAAAAAAGGGGAAACACTATTTTGTATCCTTCTCGAACTATGGGTGCTATTCAGACCAGGGTGCATTGTGATGAGAAACCAGCATACACTTTACCTCACCCCAAAATACTTATTGCACAAACCCACCTCCAGAGAGGAACAGGGGAGCCTGGCACAAGAGGGTCACCAGGAGTGGAAGGGAACTGGCACGCTCAGCTGAGACGGCTGGGCTGATGCCTAGCTCCTCCCTGCACTAGAGTTAAGCCTCCTGCTAAGTACCTTGCTGTCACCATCAGCCCTGCAAAGGCACGAGCCCCCCACCCTTCCATCTCAAATGCTTCTGCACATCTAGCTCGGCCACTTACTTTTCTCCCACTTGGATGCTATGCAGCACCACACCAGAGCTGCTCTGGTTGCTTTGCAGTTGTTCCTTGCTTCTATCTTCAGTGGTATAGAACAGAGCACGAAGGGCCAATTCTGCAGTCCAGCCCCCTCTGCGGCCCTGTGAACAGAGCAGGACCGCGACAGCATTTAGGAACGGAGATTGCCTGGAGTTGTGCCCTTCTGTCCTGCCTAACCCTGCTCGGGATGACTGTTCGGTGCTTCAACCGCAGCAGGTCATCAGCTAGAACACTCACTGCAAAGCCAAGTGCAGCTTTGCTCAACACTTCACAGAGAAGTAAGTGGCTTTAGGGGTGCCAACAGAAAGGCCAAAGAGCAGATGGGCTTCTAGAGAGAGAAACCTGAGGTTCCTTCAGCACTCTTGCAGGACAGAAATGGCTGTGCTCCACCCCTCTGGGGATCACCAAGGGGGCTCTTGGGCCACCATCTGGAATGAAACATCCTGTACCAGGCAGACAGAGCAACTCCACTTCTCTTGGTGCTTCAGCATCAGCACATGGGGCTGGGAAAGAGACAGTTACCACTGTGAAGGTCTCCCAGTTATGAGCAGGGCTGGTACCCATCTGCTCCTGTAGCAGGCCAAGGGACGACTGCTGCCTTCGCACAGGGAGGTGGGTCAGGGTCGCTTCCACTTTATCCTTTAAATACAAAACTTCAGAGCTGTCGTTACCTGACTTCCTAATGACCCTTTTCTGAAGCTCCTCTCCTCCATGATACTTTAGCTCCCTGTTGGCTGACCTGGATAAGGGCACGCTGAAAAACAAATGTATTTATAGTTATACTCGTATTTATGTCTGATAGTTAGCAAGTTTCACAGCCTGCTCCAGCCTAGACTTGGAGGCTATTCCCATCTTCTTCTCTTTAAGGGATATCATCAGGTTAATACTATTTAAAGAAGTAACTGATATGATCCCATGAGCATTGAAGCACGTGTCAGATAAGCCTTGCTACGCACTGAGAGACATCGCAAAGCAAGTAATGACAAAATTATTTAAAATGAGAGAAATCTGCATCACAACCCAAGTGCCAGTTATTTGAAACCAGCAAGGACAGTGGTTGCCTTGCTTTTCTGTGTTCTCATTTCCCTGCCAGCGTGCTTGCTGTCAGGTCCCTACACAGAAGCCCAACAACACTGCATTTTTTCAGACCATACACAGGACTATTTCCACTTATTTATTCAGTTACAACTACGAAGTCTCTTCTTAGGTGTTTCCTACAGGCAAAAATACAGCAGCTTGAGCCTCCAAGTTTGTCCCGACCGTGCCTTCTCCAGGTTTGCAAGGTTACGCAAAAGCTCGTCTGCCCTAATTCCTACCCAAACCAGCCAGAACGGGAGATCTTGTCCCTCTCCTCTTCCCAGATCATACTCCCAGGTGCTTTCCCCACCGCGTTGGGAGGCAGGAGGCAATCCACGAGGATTTATCCAAATGCACAGGAAGCCTAGATAAAGCCCAGTGTGTATGCTAGACGCTACCCGGTGAATCGGCGCACTGAAACCCACACGCTGTAGCACGTTACGGAGGATGGGGGGTGGGTAACAGGGGTGGGCAAGGCGAGAACACACTGTGGGATATTGTGAATAATTTGCATCATGTGGATGCAGGCGTCTGATGGCTTTCTTTGTCCTTGTACCACACAATGACAGTTGTATAATTTTGCAATAAAACTTTTTCAATGAACCTCGGGCAGCCACAGTCGCTTGCAGGGTTGGGGTGGAGGCAAAAATACTCTTAGAAGAGCTTAGGGAAGCTCCTTGCCATCCTTAAATCCAACACACCTTTCTTAATCTGGCAGTTGTGGGCCAGAATTACATTTAATAACAACACGTGAATGTCAACAACACGGATGTCATGGGAAAGGAACATTTAGTAGCAGGCTGGCTTTTCACTTTAACATCTTTCTCCTGAAACTGCAAGCGTCCAGCACCTTTAGTGCTTCAAAGATAAGAGGACCTACTGCCCTCCCCTGCTCTGACATTTAAGGGAGCAGCAAATGGCTCAGTTAAAGAGAAAATACGGCAGCGTAGGAATAAAACTGAGCTGTTAGCCACAGGGACCAGCCTTCCTGACCCCACAACCCAAAGCTTCTCTAGCTGGGATCCAGTGGAGATAAATAACGAACCACAAGAACCTGCACCATCGCTGCGGGAACACAGCGAAGTCTTGGAAAATCCAACAGCGTCGGACCCTGCTGGTCCATATCCTTCCGCTGCTGGAAACGGATTAACCTGCTCTCCATTCAAGCATGCAACCTTCCGCCACTCGGACAGAAGCAAAACTAAAGCTACAGACATCTCCCCTTTTCCCTGTGCCAGAATAGCACGTATCTGGGACGGGCAGGCACACGCATCCGCGCGGAGCTCTTCACAGACTGAAAAAGCACCATATGCTTGCCAGATCAGTCTCTCGCTGCAGAAAATTACAGCAGCCATCTCCAGCACGAACCGTGGCAGCCCAGGAACAGCATCAACCTGGCACAGCGATATTGCGAGGAAGTTAAAAGCTTTCCAGAGCTCCTGAGCCCATCCTACCCGCAGCTCGTCTTGCAAGCAGCTTTAAATACTCATTTTTCATCCTAGGGAAGACAGCACCCTCAAGACACAACTGAATAAATGCCCTACCTCTCCTTGAGCAGCTTCTTCCAACAGCTCACGGTGGTGGTATACTCCAACCAACGCACTCTAGAAAGGTAGTCAGTTCAAACATGCAAACCTCAACCATTACTGGAGAATCCTCGATGTTGTCCTCAACTTCTCACAACACGATGGAAGCAGCAAGAGAGAGACAGCAATACCACTCTTAAACCACACTGCTTGCTCATCTCTTGATCTTACACACGAGCAACTAAACATCTCCTTTCTACCAGTGATCAGCACTGTGAGGTTAACAGGCTGAGGGACTGGGTTGGAGGACTCCAAACCAGTGAGAGAGCTGAGTGATCTCCAGGAAAACCAGCTCTCACTGGAGGACGGCAGGAGAAATTTCCATCATCTAGTGTATATATTTTTAAGAATTTAGATAAAAGATGCAAGGCTTGTGACACTGTGTGTCACCCTTCTACTTCTTTTCACATTCCCTGCTCCTACAAAGTGACAAAGCTGGTCCAACTTTTTTGGAGTTTTTTTCAAAATTCAAATTCATGTTAAAAAAAAAAATCAAGAAAATAATGTTGGTATTACTTACTCCAACACTTAACGTGTAATATCTTAATTTTAAAGCTTTCCACTGAAAGATGTGCACAGAAACCTGAAATCAGACTCATTCTCTGACACCCTGAGAAGGCACATCTGTCTCTGACAGACTTAACCAGCTTCCCAGGCAGCACCCCGCCGGGCCGGGTTTCCAGGAGGCCTGCCAGGGAAGCTGGGAAGAGGAAGGCTGAGGCTCACACATCCACACACGCTGGCAGACAGACCAGTTCCTCACACCAGCAGTCTGAAATTCCAGTTCCTAAGTTACCTGCCCAGCTCCTGCAGAGAAGCTTCCTGAAAATGGAAACCTGGATGTAAAAGCTATTCCTAAGCAGCAAATTTTGCACAATTTTTTGTACCATTTTTAGCGCAAACAAAGAGGTTCTGAATTTCTCAAAATCTGAAAACAAAGCCTTGATCCTGCGCACATGATCTCTTATGATGCGCATAACAGTCTCTTCCCATTGCTGAACCAGATTTTGGAAAACACCCTGGGAAAGGAGCTGACAGAACTAGAATCTCTGCCTGAAACTTAACCGAATGCTCAGCCTCGCTGCTCCAGCTACGGGGCTTTAGCTTGACCGCAGCAGACAAGAGGAGCATCAAAAGTACTCATACAGCAATGGAACAGAAGTGAAAACACATCTCTGCCTACAGACCACACATTTCAATAGCATAAGTGGCCTTGTCATCTATTATCAACTTCAGGATCCACCTATGCTACCCTGCAGTTCATTAAAGCCAGTTATTAATACAGTGATAAAGTAACAGACTGTCTGCTCAGGCCTCACAGGAAGACAAGTTTTCTCCCTAATTGCTTAAGTGTATTTCCATTTCAAAGCTTAGGATAGAAGGTTTGAAATCCAGATTGTAGACTTTTTTTTCCCCCCTAACTAATGCATAAATGAAGTTTATCTCACCCCACATCTCCACCAACTAAGGTTACCTGACCCTAACAGGAGCTTATAATGTTCCTATACAGTCTATAGCCTTGAAAGTCACATAATTATCTTTTCAATGTCAAGGGAAATGGATGTACAGAGGTGAAAAAAGCATTTGGTAGAATATAGTAACACTTCAGTTGAAGCCAGAAAGGTATAAACTACCGCAACTGCTCTGGACATTGCTAAAAAAGCTCCCTCTTCTGGAAACCTCGGAGAAAGGGACTGGTATATAAGTGAAGAGTTACCAGTACTACTCCAGTTCATGGAGTGTTAGTCATGACCCTTTAAGCCCTGGATTGCTGCTCCAGTTCTACCTAGAAATCAGCATTTTGTCCCCACCTTGTTTACATCAGGATCTGGTAACTTCACTCCAAAAGGGTAACAGAAGCTGGAAGAAATGCAACGGCATTCATTCCATACCACAGGCGGGAGCAAGGCTTTCCGGGAATTTTTTCAAAGGGGGGGGAAAGGCTTTCCGGGAAAAAACTTTGCAAAAAAAAAAAAAAAAAAAAGAAGCACCTCCACAAACATTGTCTTTTGTGATTTTATTAACAGATGTTTTCAGGACAGTCAAGCTTCTGGTTGCAGATGTTACAAACCCTACAACAAAAAACAAAATACTGAGTGAGATGGTGGCAAACCATTTCCCGTAACCATT